TTTATATTCTTACATAAAGTTTCGTAGTAGGTTCTAGGCCAAACCCATTGTGAAGAAGAACATAAATAAATGTTAAATCAAGGCAAATGAAGGGCTGATCAGTATTGGGGTAATCACAAGCCTCATTTGCTTGCTTCAAAAACGCGCCCACATGAATAACACCGCCTAAAAAGGGATCGACTAAACCAACCTGAAATATTGATAAAATACATCTAAATTTCATTTATCTCTAACCTTTATTTTCTGTAAATGAATTAAAAATTAATCGTCAACTAACGTTTTAGTACGTTTCTTAGTATGAAAACATTCAAAATTGTTTATTAAAAACTTTTAACACCGCTCTTGTTTTAATTATTTATGTAAGCATTAACGTTTTATTAAAAATTAAAATATGATGAGTATCGAAATTGGCGCTTATGTCGAAATATTTTACTATATTAACAATTTACCTCTGTAGCACGATCGAAGTAGTAAGAAAATGCGTGAATTTCATGATGTTTTAAACCCTCTGGTTTATTTTTTATTTTACCAACATATTTTTCAATAATTTTTAAACATTCAGAAAAATTAACAATTGGTCTGTCCACTTCTCCACCAGCAAAGGTTTGTGTTTTGACCAACTTATGAGTCCCGTTCATGGGTCCTTTAATGAGATAATTAAGTCCTCCATAACTCCATTCCGTGGAAACTATGGGATTTACACATTCAGATCGCACTTCTATGGTAGTTTTTGAATTTGTATTATCCAAATTCATGCCGTGCGTCAGAATTTCTTTTCTTGCTGCCATAAGACCCATACCCAAATAGCTGTGTGTATAAACACTCATGTTGTGGCTGAAGATATTAACAGAGTATATATGTCCATCAAGTTTCTTTTCCTGAATAAATGTTAAATATATTTTAAATAAATTAGACATTTTTTGTTTCAAAGATTGCAAAAAAAAAAAAACGTATAAAGGACATAGCAAAATATATTATCCTACATTTTTTATTTAAGCCTTCTAAGGTACTAGAGTCTATTTTTTGTTTTACCTTTACTTTAAATAGTTAATTTTTGTATAATAAATAAACCTTAACATGAATAATTGTATAATTTTATACTTCTTGCATTTGCTTATTTTTAAAAAATAATAGAAACTTGTATGTGCATAGTAATAAATTGTGTGTTTTTGTATAAGATTCTAAACTTATTTATTTAATTTAATTTTTCTGAAAACTTACATATAATTACTAATTGAAAAGGTTTGTAAAATCTTTGTCTAAATACTGTACCAAGGTTATTTTAATCATATTTTCATTCATTATTCTAATGCTTTGTTGAATTTAATTGAATTTTATAAATTAATTTACATATTAAAAACGAAAGAAATTTTTAATTCTACTTTTTCTTTTATTTATTTAATTATACCTGTGCGGGATCCGGTGAAAAAGTCACCTGCGTTGAACCACCACCAAGATCAAGTGCAGCAACTGTGCTACCAGAATTGTGCGTATTAAACCGTTCCAGTAAGAAATTTACAGTGAACCATGAGAAGATACCTTCATCCGTACCTTCCATTATTGAAATTGAATTTTTTGAAATCTAGAATACACATAGAACAAACAATAAACATCTAATTTAAAATTATATGAAAATTAAATAGCAAATAAAGCATTTTTTTCATTTACTGATCATAAATTTCAAAAATACAATACATGTACAAATACATTTAATATATGAACACAAAGCCAGTTTTAAAAATAACTGAGTAAAACTTAAAAATAAAAATGCTGAAATTACACATGTTATGAATTTTATAACATTATATCTATCATTTTGCATACAATTTGTAAGCTTTATATAAATAAAATAGCTAATTCCTCTAATATGAAATTCATGCAATAGTTGATCTATTACATACACCACCTAGTTTCATCCTCAGGAAGAAATATGTGTGCAATCCTACTGAAGAGAATAGAAAAAATATTTTATCACTGAGAAATGAAATACTTAAAAC